AATGAAACTAACAAGAGGGAAGAAACAGATAACATTCAAAGGGAAACCAATCAGACTGACATCAGACTTCTCTGAAGAAACACTACGGGCAAGGAGAGAGTGGAGGGACATAGTCAACAGACTCCAAGAAAACAGATGCCAACCAAGAATACTATATCCTGCAAAGCTCTCCTTCCTCTTTGAAGAAAGAATATGGACCTTCCCAGACAAACAGAAACTCCGGAATTTCATTGCGACTAAACCCCCACTCCAAAAAATACTACAAGGAGTCCTAAAGCCAGAACCTCAGAGGGACGGATAACAACAAAAGAAGGCCAAAGAAAGTTATTAAAAGAATAAATAAATAAAATCAAAGGAAAGACAAACACAATGGCAAATACAGATGCTAACATATCAATACTAACTCTAAATGTAAATGGACTAAACTCTTCAATAAAAAGACACAGAGTTGCAGGCTGGATTAAGAAACAAAACCCAACCTTTTGCTGTCTCCAGGAAACACATTTAGCTGCAAAAGATAAAAATAGACTCAAAGTTAAAGGATGGAAAACAATTCTACAAGCAAATGGACCAAAAAAGAAGGCAGGAACAGCTATACTCATATCAGATAAAACAGATTTCAAACTTAAAAAGATAAAAAGAGACCCCAGTGGTCATTACATTATGATCAAGGGGACAATACTTCAAGAAGAAATAACACTCATTAACATATATTCACCAAACGAAGGAGCACCAAAATATATCAGACAACTATTGGCATCTCTGAAAACAGACATCAGAGAAAACACATACGTAGTGGGAGACTTCAACACACCACTATCAACAATGGATAGATCAACAAGACAAAAAATAAGTAAAGACACTAAAGCTCTAAATAAGGATCTAGAGTGCTTAGGCTTAACAGACATATATAGAACACTAAACCCAAAAAACTCTGAGTATACATTTTTTCTCAAGCGCACACGGATCATTCTCTAGGATCGATCATATACTGGGCACAAGGCAAACATCAACAGATACACCAAGATTGAAATCATACCAACCATCTTTTCTGACCATGAAGGCATCAAACTAGAAATAAACCATAAAGAGAAGGCAAGGTATTCTCCTACCTCGTGGAGATTGAAACCCACACTACTGGAAGTCCACTGGACTAACGAGGAGATAAAAGAAGAAATTAAAAAATTCTTTGAATTGAATGACAAGGAGGACACCAATTTCCTAAATGTATGGGATGCAGCAAAAGCAGTAATAAGAGGAAAATATATAGCAATAGATGCTCACATCAAGAAACAAGAAAGAACTCAAAGAAACAACCTAATCTCGAAACTCAAGATCTAGAAAAAGAACAACAAAAAAGCCCCAAAACCAGTAGAAGACAAGAAATAATAAAAACTAAAGCAGAAATAAATGAAATCGAAACTAAAAAAACAATCCAAAAGATCAATGAAACCAAGAGCTGGTTCTTCGAAAAAATAAATAAAATAGATAAACCCCTTGCCAGGCTCACAAGGGCAAAAAGGGAGAAAGCACAAATAAATAGGATAATAAATGAAAGAGGAGAAATCACAACGGACACAGCAGAAATCAAAAGAATTATTAATAACTACTATGAACAGTTATATGGAAACAAGTTTAACAATCTAGAGGAGATGGACAAATTCCTACAACTCTACAATCACCCAAAGCTAGATAAAGAAGAAATAGAACACCTAAACAGACCAATTACAATTAGCGAAATTGAAATGGTAATCAAAAACCTCCCCAAAACAAAAGCCCAGGACCTGATGGATTTACAAATGAATTCTACCAAACATTCAGAGACGAATTGGTGCCTATCCTTCACAAACTCTTCCAAAAAATTGAGAAGGAAGGTATAATACCTAACACGTTCTATGAAGCCAACATTACACTAATACAAAACCGAACAAGGACAACACAAAAAAGAAAACTATAGGCCAATCTCCCTAATGAACACTGATGCAAAAATCCTCAATAAAATTTTAGCTATCAGAATCCAACAGTGTATCCATAAGGTAATTCACCACGACCAAGTAGGATTCATTCCAGGGACACAAGGATGGTTTAACATCCGAAAATCAATCAACGTTATCCAACACATCAACAAAAAGAAATATAAAACCATATGATAATATCAATAGATGCTGAGAAAGCTTTCGACAAAGTGCAACACCCATTCATGATAAAAGCCCTTGAAATTCTTGGGATACAAGGAACGTACCTCAACATCATAAAGGCCGTATATGACAAGCCAACAGCCAGTATCATTCTCAATGGTGAAAAGCTGAAAGCAATTCCATTAAGATCTGGAACAAGACAAGGATGTCCACTTTCACCACTGCTTTTCATATAATACTGGAAGTCCTAGCCAGAGCAATAAGACAAGAGAAAGACATCCAAGGAATCCAAATAGGAAAAGAAGAAGTCAAACTATCACTCTTTGCAGATGATATGATAATATACATAGAGAACCCCAAAAACTCCACAGAAAAACTAATTCAACTCATCAATCAGTTCAGTAAAGTGGCAGGATACAAAATCAACACGCAAAAGTCAGTAGCCTTCCTATATACAAACAATAAATCTGAAGAAGAAGAAATCAAAAAAACCATCCCTTTATTATTGAAACAAAAAAAATCAAATATTTGGGAATAAATCTAACAAAAGAGGTAAAGGACCTATACAAAGAAAACTATAAAACACTGTTAAAAGAAATAGAAGAAGACACAAAGAAATGGAAAGACATCCCCTGCTCATGGATTGGAAGAATAAACATTATTAAAATGGCCATCCTCCAAAAGCAATATACAGATTCAATGCTATTCCAATCAAAATTCAATGTCATTCTTCAAAGAAATAGAACAATTATTGATGAAAATTCATATGGAATCACAAAAAACCCCGAATAGCCAAAGCTCTCCTGAAAAAAAAGAAGGGAATGGAGGCATCACACTCCCAGACTTCAAACTCTACTACAAAGCCATAATCATCAAAACTGCATGGTATTGGAACAAGAACAGACATACAGACCAATGGAATCGAATAGAAAATCCAGAAATAAACCCACAGATTTATGGTCAACTAATATTTGACAAAGGAGCAAAGACTATGCATTGGAGCAAAGAAAGTTTGTTCAATAAATGGTGCTGGGAAAACTGGGTCGCTACATGCAAAAGAATGAGCTTGACCACTACCTCACACCATATACAAAATCAACTCAAAATGGATTAAAGAACTAGACATAAGACCTGAAACCATAAAATACATAGAAGGAAATATAGGCGAAACACTACGTGATTTGCACATCAAAGACATCTTTACAGACACATCACCCAAAGCAGTGATAGTGAAGGCAAAGATAAACAGCTGGGACTACATCAAATTAAAGAGCTTCTGCACAGCAAAGAGACAATAACAAAAACAAAGAGAAACCCCACCACTGGGAGAAAATTTTTGCACCCACACTAATGATAAAGGACTGATCACAAAAATCTGCAAAGAGCTGATGAGACTCAACAACAACAAAGAAAATAATCCAGTCAAAAAATGGGCAGAAGGAACTAAAAGAAACTCTCTGAAGAGGAAATGCGAATGGCCAACAGGCATATGAAAAATGTTCAACATCACTTGCAATCAGGGAAATGCAAATCAAAACTACCATGAGATACCATCTTACACCAGTGAGAATGGCACATATTAAAAACTAGCAACAACAAATGTTGGCGAGGTTGTGGAGAAAAAGGAACTCTTCTGCACTGTTGGTGGGAGTGCAAACTGGTCCAACCACTATGGAGAGCTGTGTGGAGATTTCTGGACCCTAAAACATAGAGCTTCCACAGGATCCAGCAATTCCACTCCTAGGTATTTACCCAAAGACACAGAAACATCAATTCCAAGAACACTGCACCCCTATGTTTATAGCAGCACTGTTTACAATAGCTAAGCTTTGGAAACAGCCAAATGCCCAAAATAGATGACTGGATCAAGAAGATGTGGTACATATATACCATGGAATATTACTCAGCATTCAAAAAAAGATAACACATGCAATTTGCAGCAACATGGATGACGCTGGAAGGGATCATGCTCAGTGAAATAAGCCAAAAAGAAAAAGAAAAATACCGGATGGTCTCACTCATAGCAGGAATCTAGAAAACTTAAATAAGGGACCAGGAAATGAATACTATAAGAGTGAAAATCAAAATCAACAAAAAACTATGAACCAGAGACACTTTTTGGGGGGTGGGGGGGCGGGAGGGGAGGGATTGGGGTCAGAATGGGGGGATTGGCAAT